AAAATTACAAGAATGAAAATGAGCCCAATATTGGGTATCAAAAGCCCAAAGGCCCATAAAGCCTAAAACTAGGCCCAATAAGCCTAAAGCCCAAACATCCTAATTATCTAAGGTCCATAATACAAGACCAAAACAATATGAAGTCTTGCACTACTAACATGCAATAAAGAGATGGTCAGTCATGTAAAGCCCCAGTGAGTAGCAGCCTAGGCCCACCAAGCCCATTGAGCCCACTAAGCTCTGAAGCAGTCAAATCTTCAAGTAGTCTTCTAGCCATAGCTCTAGTGGTTGGACCCTTGGTCCATGCTCTTCCATCACATACTTCATTGACAATTTCATCTTTGCACTTGCTATATTTAACATATATCAAATCAATACTATGATGTTACAATGTGTTCTAATGATATAGCAAGGTGATGACATAATTCTCATTGAATTTGGTTAACTTCGACATACAACTCTTCGTAGATAGAAACTTCACAATTCAACGCTAGTGATATAAGAAATATTTCATGGTTAATGATTAGTATAAGCACATTTTTAAGCTTATCCATTTGCTAATATCATAACACTTAACATGAAATAATAATTTAAAGAAATTGTATGCACTCTTCTACAATATTCTAAAATTGTTGGATGCCCTATGTGCCTTTATTAATTTTCAAATGTCAAGCAAGGTATGTTTATTTTAGGCGAGATCTCAATCTTGAATTTGCCATATATATAATTTCATGGTATATAGTGGTGACATGATAGCATCCAACACAACTTATTGTTATAAAACATTTATTCCTTCACACTATAAATCATTAATATTGAGACAAACCAATAATAAGATAATCATCTAGGCAAAGCAAGTAAAAGAATGAAGTACCTGATATGAAAACACTTGCGAAATTGAGAAATGGAATTCTTGCCCAATTTTTGTTGAAAGTATTTCACTATATTCAAACACTTTATATCCTTTTCCATTATCTAATAAAGTCATGGTCATTATATTTTGCCTTCCTTATGCAATTGTTCCTGTATTTTGTCTTAGGCATCAAGGCAAAACAATATAAGCATATATTAAGAGATAAATTGAGTAAAATGATCATAATGAATTAATTAAAGAGTTTATCACTTAATTGGTTATCATGTCCAAGTCATGAGAGAATCTTATGATCTAAAAGAGGAAGAACGAAAGGATCCACAACAGCGCAATCAAACCAGTAATCCCAGCCCAATTGAATAGAAATACATAAGCCCATATTGTACAGTTTTTACCTTTTCCTGATACAGCTGTATATTCTGTTAGGTAGTACATTCTGTATTGTATTTAGGTGTTCCAACACCTCACCCTCTGCTGCAATTTTCTGTTATTCTTTTTTGTCCCTTCATAGGCAATGGGTTGTATATAAATATACTGCTTTGCTTTCATGAATATACAAAGAGAAGAAATCATTTTCTCAATCATTGATTCACAACCTTTGTCTACCATTTGTTTTGCTCTCTTTTATGGTATCAGAGCTCCAAATCTTGGAGCCCTGCTAATACCTTCCCTTCTTCATCATGTCTGAAGTTCACTCTGAAACTGAAACCACCTCCAATGGTGGTAATGTAGATCCTAGTCTTCCAGCCCATTTCACATTCATCGTAGTGGGTCCAGTTCCGTTACCATTACCCCTATTCTCACGACTCAAACTACCATTCCTGGTCCCATACCATCCGTATAGCCTTAATCTCTAAAAACAAGATGGGTTTTCTCACCGGTGCTATCGCCGAACCTGCTGCTACTGATCCTTTGCACACTCCATGGGAACGTTGTAATACTTTAATCATGTCTTGGCTCCTTAACTCTCTATCTCCATCTATTGCACAAAGTGTCATCTATTTTGAAAGTGATGCTACTATCTAGATTGATCTTAAAGATCGCTTTTCTCAGATTGATCTTCTCCGTATTGCAGAACTCCAAGAAGAAATATCTAGCATAAAGCGAGGTTCCCGTCCTATCTCTAAATACTACACATCTCTCAAATCTCTCTGGGAGGAGCTTGATAATTATCGCCCCTTCCCAGATTGCCAGTGTTCTGCCAAGACATATCATCAACAGGACTTTATTATCGAGTTTCTCAAAGGATTGGAGGACGGCTTTTCTGTTGTTCGTTCCCAAATCCTTCTTATGGACCCTTTGCCGCCAATATCCTGTGTTTTCGCTATGGTTGTGCAACAGGAGCGTCAACACTTGCTTCCCAATGGAGAGGAAGAACCAAATGCCTTCATTAACTCCGGATTCACCTTTTCCGGCAAGGGATGCAGCGGTAAAGTTCCTCCCGGAGGTCTTATAGGAAACAACACACACAATGCTTCCAACAAGAAGTGTGTGTACTGCCACCGTACCAGCCACACTGTTGAAATGTGCTATGGCAAGCATGGGTACCCACCGGGTCATCCATGATATTCAGGTCATCCTCATTTTAATCCACGTGATGGCACCCCCTCTACCAACAGTGTGGCTCAAGAGACTAGTAACAATGAATACAACACTTCTGTTGTTGAAGGATCCTCCTCCAATGGGTCCGGATTTCACTTGACTCAGGCCCAATATCAAACCTTAATCAACCTCCTCCAGCCACAGCCTTCTGATACTGATGGTACAACCTTTGTCCAGACCTCACGGGCCAACATCACCCAAGTGTCTTCACCAACAGGCCCAATACATGTTTCTAACTCTAAGCTTGGTATTTCGTCATATAGTCATCATTTTTTATCCAATATACACACTGTCCCTATCACACACTCACAAAATAATATTCCTTGGATTATTGATTCTGGGGCAACTGATCATATTACCTCCTCTTTAGATTCCTTTTTTAATTATTCTAAAATCAAACCTGTCCAAATCAATTTACCCAATGGTGCTGTTGTCTTTGCATATTTTTTGGGCTCTGTTCAATTCTCCCCAAATTTTATAATTCATAATGTCCTTTTTGTTCCCAATTTTAACTTTAATTTGCTCTCTATTTCTAAACTTATTCTTTCTCAAAATTATTTTCTCACCTTTTCTAATGTCCATTGTTATATACAGGAAATAGGGCCATTGAAGACAATTGGTTTGGGTAAATTGAAACAAGGCCTTTATCACTTGGACATCAACAAGCATGCGAGTTTGACGTCACCTAAAGCCTCCTTCATCAGTCATTTCACGACCTCTCCTATCAACAACACCAATCTTTGGCATTTTAGGCTAGGACACCTTTCCAGAAAATGTCTCAATATTTTACACATGAATTTTCCTTTTATTTCTAAACATGTTGATGATGATTGTGACATTTTCCATTTAGCTAAACAAAAATGTTTGTCATATTCCCCAAGTATTAATAGATCTTGCAATTTGTTTGATTTAATTCATATGGATATTTGGGGACCTTTTTCTACACCCTCTTTTCATAGTCATAAATATTTCTTAACTATCGTTGATGATTTTAGTCATTTTACATGGGTTGTCTTATTAAAATCAAAGGGGGAAGTCCAAAAACATATTCGAAATTTTATTGCCTTAATTGAAAATCAATTTCATACCACCATTAAGTGTATTCGTTCTGACAATGGGCCTGAATTTTTTCAAAGAGATTATTTTTCATCAAAGGGCATTTTACATCAAACAAGTTATGTTTATACCCCCAACAAAATGGACGCGTCGAGAGAAAACATCAACACATTCTCAATGTGGCTAGGGCCCTCATGTTTCAATCTAACCTTCCTAAACATTTTTGCTCTTATGCTATTAAACATGCAGTTTTCTAATAAATCGTGTTTCCCTCACCTGTTATTAAAAATAAAACCCCTTTTGAATTATTGTATAAAGAACCTCTTCATTTTTCTGATTAAAATTTTTGGTTGTCTTTGCTATGCATCAACAAATCCTTCTCGCCAAAAATTTGATGCCCGCTCTAGACGTGGAATTTTTTTTGGCTTCCAAACAGGAACCAAAGGCTGTCATTTTTGACATCAACAGCAAAGAAATTTTTGTATCACGTAATGTCACATTCAATGAGACATTTTTTCCTTTTTCACCATCCTGTCCAGCTTCACAATCCACTACCAATACACCACCTGACCATGACACCAGCCCAATTCATAATCACACCCTCCCAGAACATGAAATAGACTATTCCCACCACCCTCCCTTTGAGTCACCCACTCATCAAGATCCATTCGACTCCGTGGACCCCACTATTAGTCCTACTTTACCTTTTCCATCACATACCAGCAACTCTCTCTCACCACACCATCAACTCTCTCCCTCATCACCATCATCAAATTCCCCCCCACCTCTGCCGCGATATTCCACCCGTGTCACTACTCGCCCACGCTATCTTGCTGATTATTATTGCAACACTTCTTTAAGTGATTTGGCCATTGTTCCAACAGATTCTAACCAATCCCCTTCAAAGATCCTATATCCTATCCAGTCCGTCGTTGCTTATTCTCACTTGTCTTCTCCTCACTCTCACTTTCTGATGTGTCTTAATAAAGAGGAAAAACCTAAGACGTATCAAGAGGTTGTTACCCAACCTTGTTGGCAAGAGGCGATGCAAGTCGAAATTACGGCCTTGAGGAAGAATGAAACATGAGACATTGTGGCCACACTTCCCTCTGTCAAACCGATCGGATGCAAATGGGTTTTCAAAATTAAGCGAAGGCCTGATGGATCTGTGGAGCGCTATAAAGCTCGCCTAGTTGCGAAAGGGTACTCACAAATTGAAGGGATTGACTACCTAGAAACTTTCTCCCCTGTCGTAAAAATGATTACAGTCAGGGTCCTTTTAGCTTTGGCATCAATCCACAATTGGGCTAGGATTACTGGTTTGATTGAGCTGTTGTGGATCCTTTCGTTCTTCCTCTTTTAGCCCCTCATGGTATAAAAGAGGAAGAACGAAAGGATCCATAATTGGGACTTGCAACAACTCGACGTCAGCAATGCTTTTCTCCACGGGGACCGTTCAGAAGATGCGTATATGGTAATTCCTCCTGGACTCTCTATTCATCCTTCTAATCATTGTTGCAAGCCTAAGAAATCACTCTACGGCTTGAAACAAGAAAGCCGCAAATGGTATGAAAAATTGTCTCTCCTATTGTTGTCTTCTGGGTATGTTCAAGCACATGCTGATCATAGTTTATTTGTTAAAGCAACTAGTTCTGCTTTCACTGCTCTCGTTGTTTACGTTGATGATATCGTGTTTACTGGAAATTGTGCTTCTGAAATTACTAATCTTAAGACCATTCTTCACTCTCATTTCCATATAAAGGATCTTGGTCAATTGAAATATTTTTTGGGAATAGAGGTGGCTCATTCTAGCAAAGGAATTTCTATATGTCAACGCAAATATTGTCTGGAGTTGATTACAGATTCTGGTCTCATCGGATGCAAAACTACTTCCACTCCAATGGATGATTCTTTGCGTCTTCATCAAGACTCCAGTGAACCTCTAGCTGATCCTTTGTCATACATATGGTTAGTAGGACGTCTCATCTATTTAACCAGCACAAGACCTGATATAGTCTTCACCACTCAACAGCTTAGTCAATTCATGGTAGCACCAACTCAGACTCATTTTCAAGCTGCCTTGAGGGTGATTCGCTATCTGAAAGGATGTCCTGGAAAAGGTTTATTTTTCAGTCACCAGTCCTCAACAAACCTTCTTGGATTCAGTGATGCTGATTGGGCTATGTGTGTTGATACACGGCGTTCAATCACTGGTTATTGTTTTTTTATTGGCAACTCTTTAGTGTCCTGGAAAGCCAAGAAGCAATCTACAGTTTCTCGATCTTCTGTAGAAGCAGAGTACATGGCACTTGCCTCTGCCACTTGTGAGCGTCTTTTAACTTCGTCTAGGATGTTTTGATTTAGGTTGACCATCGTCTGTGGTCTTATATCATCTAAGGCTTCATTATTTTCCTTCTTGTGCTGGACTTGATTTCGTTTGATCTCTTCATCTGATATCTTGTAGCTTTTACCCTTTATCTTGGTTGCTCGTGCTCTTTCTTCATCTTGCGTTGTGTCTTGTTGTAATGCAATGTAGTTTGTGGGTAGCTTTATCTGGTGTATATACTTCTTTTGATCAGACTTTATCTGGTGCTTGGCTCATTTTGTCTTGGTTCTGGTGTAGAAGGTGGTACATGCATATTCTCTATTCTTATGTACTTATGTTTTTTTGAAACACTAACACATTTGTTAGAAATAAAAATATGCATTATATTTTTCTCATTCAAAACTTTACTGGTGGGGTTGCTTCGTCTGACTTAACACTCTTCCCAAATTTATGCCTTTTTACCAATTAAAGTTTGGGGAGCCTATTGGTTAAATTTTGTTGAATGGAGTTCACTCTAAATGGTTTCCCCCATTGTTTAATTCTCACAATCAATCAGTTTTTAGAACGAGTTCTTAAAGGTTTAATCCTTGGACTATATTTTGAAGTTCATAAAGAACAAAAATCTTAAATTTCTTTTCTATTGATAGTCCAAACTTGGAAGGTTTACCAACATTGGTGATATGATTTTGTCAAAGGATGAGAAGGATGATACAAAGTTCAAAAGAATTACCGTATCCTTTTAACTGCAAATTTGTAGTGGAACTCACATCCTCGAATAATTTCTATGGTTATTTAGAGAGTAAGTGTTATATACTTGTATAGTTGTTCTATACTCTATAATATGAATCTAACTTGTAAATAGGATTGATATGACTTTTTATTCGTAGTGATCATGGGTTAAAATAATTTGGTATCACTTTAAGGGTAATTTCAAGTTGGACCAAGTTGTCCAAAAGTATAACTTGGCTGACCAACCTAATCAAAATGTTCAAGTTGAAAATATCATTCTTTTACTTGTAGTCCAACTTGCATAAAGAAAGAAAGTTGTAACTAATGTTTCAAAACAAATTGGTAAATAAGTTGAAGTTACTCCAAGTTAGAATCATGTTAGCAATGAGATTGGTCATACTCAAATGTAAGAGAAAAACAATGAACTAAGAAAAGTTGTCGAATAAAGCTTGGAAGGTACTTCTAATAAGCGACGAAGACCTTGGAAATTTAAATTTTGTTGGTAATCAACAAAATAATTTAGTGATCAATTTTGAGATGGCTAGTGACATTGGTGCTTCTAGCACCAAGCTTCCCACGAATGATATAATTGAAGTTAGAGAAAAAAAACATGTGTTCCCCAAGGATTCCAACTTCTTCTAATTTTCCTATTAGTAAAGTATTAGGTCGGATCATGAAATTATGTTTCCTCATGTTTCAAGGATTAGGCTTTGTACTTGGCCTTTCAATATTTTAGGGTAGGCTTCAAACTCAATATTTTAAGATTGGTTAGGCTTCAAACTCAGCCTTAGACTCAAACTTGACATTTTAATATCATGTTAGACTCAAACTCAACCTTAGGCTCAAACTTGGCCTTTTAAAATCATATTAGACTCGAGCTTGGCCTTAGACTCAAACTTGGCCTTTTAAAATCATATTAAACTCAAGCTCGGCCTTAGGCTTAAACTTGGCCTTTTAAAATCATATTAGACTCGAGCTCAACCATAGGCTTAAACTTGGCCTTTTAAAATCATATTAGACTCAAGCTCAACCTTAGGCTTAAACTTCACCTTTTAAATTCATATTAGGCTTGAAGTCAGTCTTAGGCTCAAACTTGACCTTAACATTTTGGTTTATACTGAACCACTTAGTGCAAGCTTGGCTCTATTATCTATGAATTTGTTGCTTCCTTATATTTCTTCATACATTCTTCACCAACCTCAAATGTTTATATATATGTGCATTATCCTTGTAACAATTTGTTAAAATGTACATAAACAACATTATATTTGAGCCTAGGATCTGTATTTGTATTTTTTTTATGGTATTTAGTTGCCACTTTGTATTATTTTTTATGTTTTCTTTTCAAATACGAAACAATGTTATTTTGTATGATACAGTGCAACAATTTGATAATCAAAGCATACTGATGGTGTAGGTTAGAGAAGATGATGAACTTTCTTCCTTACCTTCACCGAACAACAAGGATCTTCTTCCTTGAGTTTGATCCGATTGAAATAAGGTAGATGAAGAACTTGATGCGAGAAGGAGATGATCCTAGCCTACGGATGGAAGCATCCAAGCTTGAGAGTCAAAGGATTGCTCACTCTCAAGTTTAGGAATGGAGGATTTCCTAGAACTAAAGCTAAGCAAGTTTCGGTGACTTTTGAAGAGAATTTGGCTGAAGAAAAATTTAGAATTCTCATATAAGCAAAAGTGATTACAAGAAGGAAGGAGTCAAGCTTATATAGGATCGGCTAAGAAACAAATTGGCGCCAAGGTTCAAGTACCACACGTGGCTCCAAGATTTGAATTCAAATTTGAAATTTGAATTCAAATCTCCACTCCCAAGTGCATTGCCGTAAACCTAGGTGCTAACATGCATCTCAATTTAATTTAAGAAGCATTTAGGGTTGAATTTAAGTCACACATGTTTAGCCACAAGTGGCGCCATCCATGTGACTCAAATGCAACTTAAATGCATTCCAAATTAAACCTAGTTTAACCTAATCACCCTAGTTAAGTATTCCTCCAATATTCCTATTCTAATGACCTAAATACAATGGTCAATCAAATACAATGGAAAGGAAAAATTACAAGAATGAAAATGAGCCCAATATTGGGTACCAAAAGCCCAAAGGCCCATGAAGCCCAAAACTAGGCCTAATAAGCCTAAAGCCCAAACATCCTAATCTAAGGTCCATAATACAAGACCAAAACAATATGAAGTCCTACAGTACTAACATGCAATAAAGAGGTGGTCAGTCATGTAAAGCCCAAGTGAGTAGCACCCTAGGCCCACCAAACTCATTGGGCCTACTAAGCTCTGAAGCAGTCAAATTTTCAAGTAGTCTTCTAGCCATAGCTCTAGTGGTTGGATCCTTGGTCCATGCTCTTCCATCATCCCCCCTCTTAAAAAGGATTCATCCTTCAATCTAAAGACTCATCCTCATCATCACTAGCACCTGCAAAAGGTTTTAAATCACTCACATTAAAAGTAGGGCTAACACCATAGTTAGAGGGTAACTCAAGCCTATAAGCGTTATCATTGATACGCTGTGGAACTTGAAAGGGTCCATCTCCTCGGGGACTAAGTTTTGACTTCCTTTGTTGTGAAAAATGTTCTTTTCTAAGGTAAAGCCAAACCCAATCACCTTCCTCGAAGATCATTGTTCTTTTGCCTTTATTATTGGATTGAGCATATTTCTCATTTTGCATTTGTATATGATTTTTAATCCTTTCATGCAATTTTTGAACAAAATCAGCCCTTAAAGTACCTTCCTTATGTAGTCAAAGGATTAAATCCATATACAGCCTCAAAAGGAGAAATATTGGTAGCCTTGTGGACTACCCTATTATAGGCAAACTCTATGTGGGGTAAATACTCATCCCAAGATTTGTGATTACCCTTCATGATTGCTCTAAGCATAGTAGATAGAGATCTATTAACTACCTCAGTTTGATCATCATTTTGAGGATGACAAGTAGTAGAAAAGAGAAGTTTAGTTCCTAGTCTTGACCACAAGACACGCCAAAAATGACTTAGGAACTTGGTATCTCTATCAGATACTATGGACTTAGGAAGTCCATGAAGCTTAACCACATCTCTAAAGAAGATTTTTGCAATGTTGCTTGCATCATCTACTTTGTGGCATGGAATGAAATGGGTCATTTTACTAAAGCGGTCCACTACCATAAAAATAGAATCCATACACCTTTGGGTCCTAGGTAAACCTAGCACAAAATCCATGCTAATATCCACCCAAGGAGTTGAAGCAACATGTGGTCTTATATCATCTAAGGCTTCATTATTTTCCTTCTTGTGCTGGACTTGATTTCGTTTGATCTCTTCATCTGATATCTTGTAGCTTTTACCCTTTATCTTGGTTGCTCGTGCTCTGTTCTTTATTTTGCGTTGTGTTTTTGTCTTGGTTCTGGTGTAGAAAGTGGTACATGCATATACTCTAGTCTTCAACTTTCCTGCACTTATGTTTTTCTGAAACATTAACGCACTCGTTAGAAATAACAATATGCATTATATTTGTCTCATTCAAAGCCTTACTGACAATTGCTTCGTCTGACTTAACAATCTCCCCCTTTTTGTTGATGACAAATATAATTGATCAAATGATTTCAGATAAACTAAATCAGAGGTATTTGTTGGATCGAGCGCTTACCACTAGGCCAAAAGCTATAGCTAATAGTCAGGGCGCAACTCTTTTTACTTAATAGCGCAGCAGCCCAAGCGCCATGATTCGACAGTGACTTGGCCCACCTAGCCTCCCCCTCAGCAATTGCCCCGCTGGGTATCGAACTCATGACCTTGGCTCTGATACCACTTGTCAGTCCCTCAGCCTCAATTAACTTAAGAGGGGGGGTGAATTAAGTTTACTAAATTTCCTCTTATAAAAATTTTTTCCAATTACTTCTTTATCAATTTATTTCCTTAGAAAAATTTGAAGGAATGAATGATGATGCAAACTACACAATTATAATTAATAACAAGAAAGTAAAAGTGTAGGGAAAGAAGAATTGCAAACTTGATTTTATACTGGTTCGGCCAATCCTGCCTACATCCAGTCCTCAAGTCTCCCACTTGAGATTTCCACTACTCTTGTAAACCTTACAAGAATTGAATCCTCCAACACCTCGGAACTCCCTTTCCTTGTGTTGAGATTCAAACACCAACAAGGAGAAAAACCCTTTCTCCTTTACAGATCAACAGATCAACAGGGTATTACAGAATGACTCTCTTTAAAGAGTAGATATTACACTTTCTATGAACTTGATGAACTCTTTAGATAATTGTTTGCAAATGATTTTTG